ACCAAAGTCAAAGTGATTCGTATCCAGTTATATTGATGCTTGGGAAAGAATGTTCAAACCAGTCTTCTTGCTGTCCTTTCTTTGATAGACAAAAGCTGCTGGCTTAGACAGCCATCTTTTTGTGTCTAATGGTTGGGCCAGCCCTGGCTAACAGAAGTACCAACGCTATTGTGTCAGACAGAGAGATAATTTGGATCCACTTGCCTTATGCATAATATTGTAATGGCAATATCTCTTCTATGTACCTTTTTGAAATTAAGCATTTTTTAGGATAGCTAGTTCAATGGTATCTGGCCACACAGCAAAGGTATTTACAGTTGGAAGAGCAAAGCAACTATTGCTGTTTCAAAGGATAGCAGCTGAAAACACGGGCTATCTAAGTATTTCCTAGCTGCTGCTTTGCCTCATTGTTGCTTGTGCAATGAAGAGCAAACCCTGAGGGGCAGTGTTGGTTTAGCCCATCCCTTCAATAGGTACGTGCTGTTTTGATTTGCAGGTTGATAGCTTTTATGCTCTGTGTGCAAGAGCATAAAAGCAGGCACAGATGAAAACAGTCAGGTGTGTGGCCAAACATCACAGCTGGCAATTCGACAGTTGCACAGCAAACCTACAAAGGAGTGGAATGTTTTCACTTTAAACTTTCAGTGCTATATCCAATTCTTAGTTCCAACCTGGACCTGTTGCCGTTGTAGCTTTTTTGTGCCTTCTAGTCAAGTATTAAGAGTAAGACTCACGATATCATACGATATTCTCGTGAAGCTTTGTTTAGAAGAAACATTTCTCTAGAAGATAACGGTCTGACTTATAACAATTTGTTAACACTAGACAATGCACAATATAGAAAAGAGAAGAGTTAATGATGTTAAGGGTTATCCAATACAATGATTTGCTCATAAGCAAATTCCTGAGCATTTTAATATGGGTAAAAACATAATGCAGAACACACCATGCGATGTGCAGGGCTTGATGAATGCCAGGCCGGGGTTAAAATTGCTGGAAGGAAACATTAACAACCTTAGATATGCAGATGATACCACTTTGATGGCCAAAAGCGAGGAGGAGCTGAGGAGCCTTCCAATCAAGGTGAAATCGGAGTCAGTGCATGGAAAATATGGACCAAGTCTCCGAAAGTTCCCCCCTCCTATGCGGGGTACCCCAAGGTGCAATTCTCTCCCCTCTTCTTTTCAACATCTACGTTAGACCCCTTGCCAGTTTGGCTCGGAGATTCGGCCTGGACTGCTATCAATATGCGGACGACACCCAACTCCTGTTGCGCTTGGAGCCTGGAGTAATGTCAATACCTGACAATTTCACCTTATGCCTGGAGGCTCTGTCGAACTGGCTACGTGCTAGCAGACTGAAGGTGAATCCGGTGAAGACTGAGATCCTGTGGCATGGCCGCCCGATAGGTCCGACCCATCCATTACCTACCTTTGATGGCGCTGCTCTATCTCCATCGCCTACCGTTAAGAGCCTAGGTGTCGTTTTGGATTCACAGCTGACGATGGAGGCTCAGGTCGCTGCTGCCAGCAAACAGGCCTTTTTCCATCTACGACAAGCGAGGCAACTGGCACTTTACCTGTCGGATGAGGCTCTGGCAACAGTCATCCATGCCACGGTCACATCTAGGCTGGACTATTGTAACACCTTGTATGTTGGCCTTCCTATTTCTACGACCCGAAAGCTCCGTATTGTCCAGAATGCTGCAGCCAGGTTACTCACAAAAATGCCCATGAAATGCCATATAACACCAGTGCTGCGGCATCTACACTGGCTCCCAATTGAGTATTGTGGTTTGTATAAGATGCTGGTCCTAACCTTTCAAACTTTATATGGCCAGGGTCCATTGTATCTTAGAGACCGTCTCTCCTTCTACCATCATCGGAGGTCGCCACGACCATCCCAACGCGATTTGCTCTATATACCGGGTCCTAGGGAAGTGCACTTGGAAAGCACCAGACGCAGGGCCTTCTCTATTTCTGCCCCTGCCTTATGGAATTCCTTGCCTCCCTATTTGAGAGCCATGCGTGACTTAGGGCATTTTATCCTAGCACTTAAGACCTGGCTTTTTACTAGAGCATTTGACCCATGTTAATTTTAATATTTGTATGTATGTGTTTTATCCTGTACAATTTCTGCAATGTAAATCACCTGGAGCATCTCGGATGGAGGGCAATTAATAAGTAATTAAAGATGATGATGATGATGATTGTACTCAGGTCAAGAGGTTACAGTCGGGATAGCATATGGAGAAACTGGATGATTTCCAGTTGGCAATGTCCTTAGGCAAGGCTGCCTTTTATTACCCTATCTACTTAGAACACATTATTTATAAAGGAGGAAGGAGGCATAAAAACTGGAGAAATTGGCATACTCCTGTCAATTACAATTACCAAGCATCAACAATGGTCTCCCAAGTCATAGTCCAGTGTTCAGACCATTACACCACGGTGCCTCTTTTTTATCTGGTTTGTTGCACAACCAGCTGGGAGAAACATTGACACAATTCAAGTTAGTTGTTCCTCTCTCCTAGTCATGTTCATTATGACTGTAAATAGCTCTCAAGGACCTTAGGCCCTTTCTACACTGCCATATAATCCAGATTATCAAAGCAGAAAATCCACATTATCTTCTTTGAACTGGATTATATGAGTTTCCATTGCCACTTCAAAACTGATCATCTGGATTTTATTTGGCAATGTAGAAGAGGCCTCAGAGGGACATCTTTCAACCCACGTTTCCCTTGCAGTTTTGGGCAGAGAATTCATAGGGTCTGCACTGTTCTCCAGTTTTTCTCCAAATATTTTGGCCGTCAACTCCTATAATCCTTGCTGCTGGGGCTTCTGGGAAATGAAGCCAAACAGCATCCGGAGGTACAAAGACTGAAAACTATTACTTGAGTCTAGGCAATTGTTTGCCTAACTGGCTGTGAAGCTAATATACTTATGGCATATTAGTCACTTACGTAATAACGATATATGTAAGAATTGGGCATGTGTAAGAACATGTTATATTGTTTCACCTACCCTGCATTCTTTACTCTGCAAGTTCTCAGGAAGCATTTTAAAGTTTTATGTTTTTGAATTTCTGCTTCTATTTTACACTATTGTTTATTTTACAGCTATTTGCATTTCTTTAGGTAAATTAATTTCCCACAAGACTTTGAAACTAACCATGCCTTTCTGAAAAGGTTGCTAAAGCAAGCATAGGGAATGTGCAGTTCTCTAGACATTGCTGGACTGCAACTCCAATCACAGTCCTTACCATTGGCTATGCCAGCTAGGTTGATGGAAGATATAGTCCCACAACATTTGGAGACCACACATTGCTGATCTCAGTTGTCTAACCTATGTCTCTCTGCAGTAACACTTTCTGCAATGAGTCAAAACTACACATTTGTATGTCTATCCATTTGTCTACTCTGCCCTCTAATGGGCAACAGTGAGATGAGCTGCCCTAGTAAATAAAAATGTAATGTTCGTTTGTGGGATTAACAGAACTCAAAAACCACTGGACGAATTGACACCAAATTTGGACACAACCCATTATTAAAAAAAATGATTTTGTCATTTGGGAGTTGTAGTTGCTGGGATTTATAGTTCACCTACAATCAAAGAGAATTCTGAACTCCACCAATGATGGAATTGGGCCAAACTTAGCACACAGGGCTCCCATGACCAACAGAAAAAACTGGGTTTGGTGGACCTTGACCTTGGGAATTGTAGTTCATCCACATCCCTCCTGACAAGGAGCCATCTAGTCATAAATATAGATAGATAGATATGATTCTCACACACACACACAGAGATATAGTATCATAGATTTGAAAGAGACCCTTAAAGAAAGGCAATGATATGTTGCATATTCCAGAGTAGGCAAACCAGACAGTTTGGTCCAGATCCATCATTGTTTAAGTCCACAGTGCTCTCTGGATGTAGGTGAACTACAACTCCCAAACTCAAGGTTAAACCCTTCCAGTGTGTTCTATTGGTCATGGAAGTCCTGTATGCCATGTTTGGTTCAATTCGATAATTGGTGGAGTTCAGAATGCTCTTTGATTGTAGGTGAACTATAAATCCCAGCAACTACAACTCCCAATTGTCATGGTCTATTTCCCTTAAACTCCATCTGTGTTCATATTTGGGCGTATGGAAAATTCGTGCCAAGTTTGAGTCCACAGTGCTCTCTGGATGTGGATGAACTACAATTCCCAGACTCAAGGTCAATGTCCACCAAACCCTTCCAGTTTTTTCTGTTGGTCATGGGAGCCCTGTGTGCTAAGTTTGGCCCAATTCCATAATTGGTGGAGTTCAGAATGCTATTTGATTGTAGGTGAACTATAAATCCCAGCAACTACTCCCAAATGACAAAATCCAATTTTTTTTTAGTGAAGGACATACATTGGGTTGTTGGGTGTCTTGTGTACAAATTTGGTGTCAATTCGTCCAGTGGTTTTTGAGTTCTGTTAATCCCACAAACAAACATTACATTTTTATTTATATAGATGATGATGATGACTATCTCCTTTGAACTGGGTTATCTGAGTCCATAATCAGCTATTATGGGATTTTCTGCCTTGATATTCTGAGACAGAGGGCTGTGTGGAAGGTTATCTGAGTCCACACTGCCATATAACCCAGCTGAAAGCAGATCATGTGGGATTTTATACGGCTATGTGGAAGGGCCCAAGAGCTGGGAAGCCTCTCTAAGCAGGAGAGTCTATTTATACCATTGGAAATGTTTCCAAAGAAACTTAAGAGGCTTTATGGACACTTATGTATCAACATGGCGTTACGTCATCAAAACGTGCCCTGCCTCGCGATTTTTAATTTCTTGTTGCTGTTCCTTTTCTTCTTCTCTGTTTCCTGCGCCCGCCCGCCTGGCCTCGGCTCGAGCCAAGACCGCTCTTCCGCAGCGCTTTGGCGCCGGTGGTTTGCCGCGCGCTGATTGGCCGTTTTGAAAGCGGCGGCCCGTCCTTATTGGCGCGTTGGCGGCGGCTCGGCGCGGTTCATTTGAATCCGCCTCTTGCTCGGCTGCCTGAGGGAGACTTGCAGAGAGAGGAGCGCGGCGTGGGTCTGGAGGGGCAGCGCCCACGGATGAAGCACGGGTAAGGGGCGAGGGGGGGGGGGAAGGCTGTCTGGACCCCCTTTTCGACACCCCCCAGAAAGCAACACTAGTTGGGAATCTCAGCCTCATGGAGCACCGTTCAGACTGAAAGAAAGGAGTTGCTAGCATAGTTTTCCACACATTGCAGCACCCAGAATCCCCCAGCCATCTACTGCATCTACACTGTGGAATGAATGCAGTTTGGCTCCATTATAACTGCCATGGAATCCTCAGAGTTGTCGTTTGGGCCCTTTTTGGCCTTGTAAAGACTCCAACTCCCACGATCCCAGGGCAGTTGAAGTGGAGTCACACCACATGTATTCGTTTATTTATTTACTGTATTTATATACCCTCTTTCTCACCCCATAGGGCAGTGGTTCTCAACCTTCCTAATGCCATGACCCCTTAATACAGTTTCTCATGTTGTGGTGACTCCTAAGGTAAAGGTAAAGGTAGTCCCCTGACATTAAGTCCAGTCATGTCTGACTCTGGGGTGTGGTGCTCATCTCCATTTCTAAGCCAAAGAGCCAGCATTGTCCATGGACACCTCCAAGATCATGTGGCCAGCATGACTGCATGGAGCGCCGTTATGGTGACTCCCAACCATAACATTATTTTTGTTGCTACTTCATAACTGTAATTTTGCTTCTGTTATTAATTGAAGACAATTATGCTGTGGAAAGTGGAAGGTAAAAGGAAGAAGGGCCAACCAAGGGCAAGATTGATGGATGGCATCCTTGAAGTGACTGGACTGACCTTGAAGGAGCTGGGGGTGGTGACGGCCAACAGGGAGCTCTGGCGTGGGCTGGTCCATGAGGTCACGAAGAGTCGGAGACGACTGAACGAATGAACAACACAACAATGAACAAAGTTAATATCTGATATGCAGGATGTATTTTCACTCACTGGTCCAAATTTGAACACTGGGGGGGGGGGGGTTTGATTTTGTCATTTGGGAGTTGTAGTTGCTGGGATTTATAGTTCACCTACAATCAAAGAGCATTCTGAACTCCACCAGCAATGGAATTGAACCAAACTTGGCACACAAAACTCCCATGACCATCAGAAAATCCTGGAAGGATTTGGTGGGCACTGACCTTGAATTTTGGAGTTCTAGTTCACCTACATCTAGAGAGCACTGTGGACTCAGTGATGGATCTGGACCAAATTTGATGTGGATACTCAAGATGCCCAAATGTGAACACAGATGGAGTTTGGGGAAAATAGACCTTGACATTTGGGAGTTGTAGTTGCTGGGATTTATAGTTCACCTACCATCAAAGAGCATTCTGAACCCCACCGACAATAGAATTGGGCCAAATTGCCCACACAAAACCTCTATGACCAACAGAAATTACTGTTTTCTAATGGTCTTTGGTGACCCATCTGACACCCTCTTGTGATCCCCCCAGGGGTCCCGACCCCCAGACTGAGAAACGCTGCCATAGGGGGAATCAAGGCGGATTACAAAATACTAATGACAAAAATTCAATGCCAACATACATGTAAAAAGAAAAAAAATCATTTTTTTGTCGTGTCAGGAGCGACTTGAGAAACTGCAAGTTGCTTCTGGTGTGAGAGAATTGGCTGTCTGCAAGGACGTTGCCCAGGGGACGCCCGGATAATTTTGATGTTTTTATTATCCTTGTGAGAGGCTTCTCTCATGTCCTGCATGAGGAGCTGTAGCTGATAGAGGGAGCTCATCCGCCTCTCCCCAGATTCGAACCTGTGACCTGTCGGTCTTCAGTCCTGCAGGCACAGGGGTTTAACCCACTGCGCCACCGGGGGCTCAAAAAAATCATAGTAACTAAACACTAACATATAGCTATGCATTAAAATCATTAAAACCACAAAATAGAAGGCATAAACCACATTTAAACATTAAGACAAAGCATTAAAAAACATCCTAGTATAAATATTAAAATCACACGATCCAGTTCAGGTTGAGTATTCCTTATCTGAAATGCTTTGGACCAAAAGTGTTGCATATTTTGAATCGTCCTTTATTTTGGAATATTTGCATATATGTAATAAGATATCTTGGTAACGGGATCCAGATCTAAACAGGAATTCATTATACACATTATACATGTAAGGTCAATTATTACTTTAATAATTTTGTGTATGAAAGTTTGGTTACACTGAACACTCAGAAAACAAAAGGGTCACTATCTCAGCTGCCCATGTGGACCATCCTGGATTTCGGGGTATTTTGGGAAGGATTCATTCCACAATGTCGATGCTACACATCCTTTTGCATACTAGTCTTTTTTTTTAAGGGTCCATGCATTTCCTTTTCCTGTTTGTGAGTTGCATATAATCCAACCTCATTCTTTTACCCTGTCCTCTGAGCAATAGAGAATTGAGCTGGGTTCTTCATAAAGAGAGTCTCCATCAATTCAACATAGTTTGTAGCAGCCACAAAAACAGTTTCTGAGATAAAACAACTACTTTCAAAATAAGTGCTGTACAATTAAACAGGAAATGACGCTATCAACACAGGAACAGACCCCCCCCCCCCCCAAATTTTGTTGTATAGCGTAATCTAGGATTTCCATGGGGCTTTCCAGCTTAATTATGCCCCCCTCCACACAGCTGTATAAAGTCCACATGGAAGTGTGGACTCAGATAACCCAGTTAAAAGCAGATATTGTGGATTATCTGTCTTGATATTATGGTTTATATGGCTGTATGTAAGGGCCTTCACTTTCCTCTTTGTCTCATCCAGATTTGGGGGTTCATTTGGGATGCAAGTATATTATTGGGGCATTCCTGAATATACCATTGTTTCTCAACCTGGGGGTCACAAGGGGGTGTCAGTGGGGTCGCCAAAGAACATCGGAAAACAAAGTATTTTCTGTTGGTCATAGGGGTTTTGTGTGGGAAGTTTGGCCCAATTCGATCATTGGTGGGGTTCAGAATGCTCTTTAATTGTCGCTAAACTATAAATCTCAGCAACTACAAGTCCGAAATGTCAAGACTATTTCCCCCAAACTCCACTAGTGTTCACATTTTGGGCATATTGAGTATTCGTGCCAAGTTTGGTCCAGATCCATCATTGTTTGAGTCCACAGTGCTCTGAATGAACTACAACTCCAAAACTCAAGGTCAATGCCCAACAGACCCTCCCAGTATTTTTTGTTGTACATGGGAGTTATGTGTGGCAAGTGTGGTTCAATTCCATTGTTGGTGGAGTTCAAAATGCTCTTTTATTGTAGGTTAACTATAAATCTCAGCAACTACAACTCCCAAATGACAAAATCAATCCCTCTCAACAGTATTCAAGTTTGCGCGTATTGTTCCAAATTTGGTCCAGCAAATGAAAATACATCCTGCATGTCAAATATTTACATTGTGATTCATAACAGTAGCAAAATTATAGTTATGAAGTAGCAACGAAAATAATGTACGGTTGGGGGTCACCACAACATGAGGAACTGTATTAAGGGGTCGCGGCATTAGGAAGGTTGAGAACCACTGGACTATACTTTCTTCCTTGCCTAAATACAGACCTGGTTATTTTCTAGTTCTTTATACACCTGCACATGACTCTCCAGCCAGGAAAACATGGTTTCTGATACTACTTTAGAGGTTCTCAACCTGTGGGTCTCCAGGTATTTTGGCCTACAACTCCCATACATCCCAGCCAGTTTACCAGCTGTTAGGATTTCTGGGAGTTGAACGCCAAAACATCTGGGGACCCACAGGCTGAGAACCCTTCATTATATAATACAAACTTCTTTTTAATTATTTTATTCAAGGGTTCTGTCATGCTTTTTCTTTTCTTTCTTTAAGAGGCCCCAAGCTTGTCATTCTTCGGCATATGTAATAAGTATGTGTTGGTCTTCCTTGAGACATAGAAAAGGCCTGAATGGAATGACCTCCAGAGTTGCTAAAGCACTCTTTTGAGTCAATGAAAGCAAAGAGGAACATGTGAATTTGATCTCTTTCCAGGTGGAGGTTCATATAATCAGGTGCCTCATGGAACCGCAAGTTAATAATAGGTTACTCCAGGTTGATTCCAGGAAACAAGGAAAATGTAGAATAGAGGTGCTGACTAGTTAGTTGAAGAATAGAAATCTTCATATTGTCCTTAAGTCCAGATGTCTGATAGACATATTCTTCCCCTTGTTTTCATTTGGTTGTTATTTCAAAGTGTTCAGGTAACTAGGGACACTTTCACACAGCCATATAACCCAGTATATCAAGGCAGAAAATTCCACATTATAATGTATATGAAAATGTATAATATCACAAAGGACTACCATCTCACCTGCCTCATAGGAAACCTGCTACAAAACAGGAGATTTTTTGTTGAGTTCCAGGGCCAGATAAGCAGATGGCGGAAACAGAAGAACGGCCTGCCTCAGGGGAGCGTGCTCGCTCCATCAATGTTCAACATTTGCACAAATGACCAGCCACTGCCAGAAGGGACAGAGAGTTTCATCTATGCTGATGATCGTGCCATTACCGCTCAAGCAGGGAGCTTTGAGATGGTAGAACAGAAGCTCTCCGAAGCTCTAGGTGCTCTTACTGCCTATTACAGGGAAAACCAGCTGATCCCCAACCCATCTAAAACACAGACATGTGCCGTTCACCTTAAGAACAGACAAGCATCCCGAGCTCTGAGGATTACCTGGGAAGGAATCCCACTGGAGCATTGCAGCACCCCCAAATACCTGGGAGTCACTCTGGACCGTGCTCTGACCTACAAGAAGCACTGCCTGAACATCAAGCAAAAAGTGGGTGCTAGAAACAATATCATACGAAAGCTGACTGGCACAACCTGGGGATCACAACCAGATACAGTGAAGGCATCTGCCCTTGCGCTGTGCTACTCTGCTGCTGAGTATGCATGCCCAGTGTGGAACACATCTCACCACGCTAAAACAGTGGATGTGGCTCTTAATGAGACATGCGCATTATCACGGGGTGTCTGCACCCTACACCACTGGAGAAATTACACTGTTTAGCTGGTATTGCACCACCTGACATCCGCCGGGAAGTAGCAGCCAATAGTGAAAGGACCAAGGCAGTGACATCTCCAGCTCATCCCTTGTTTGGGTATCAGCCAGCACGTCAATGACTTAAATCAAGAAATAGTTTTCTAAGATCTACAGAAGCATTCGCTGGAACAGCTCAGCAAGCGAGAGTCCAAAAGTGGCAGGCTCAAACCCAGAACCTCAATCAGTGGCTCCCCTCTGAGCACATAGAAAACTGGGCAACTTGGAAGGTGCTGAACAGACTGCGCTCTGGCACCATGAGATGCAGAGCCAATCTTAAGAAATGGGGCTACAAAGTGGAATCCATGACATGTGAGTGCAGAGAAGAGCAAACCACTGACCACCTGCTGCAATGCACCCTGAGCCCTGCCACATGCACAATGGAGGACCTTCTTGCAGCAACACCAGAGGCACTCCAAGTGGCAAGATACTGATCAAAGGACATTTAATCAACTACCAAGTTCGCAAACTTTGTGGTGTTTTTTATCTGTTTGTTTGTTTTGGTCTGTTAGAAATGTAATACAATTGCCTGGTTGCCCCTGACACGATAAGTAAATAAAGTAAGTAAGTAAATAAATAAATAATAACACCTCCATCTCAATCTGTGTATGAGTATATGATGAAAGTCTATGGGGTATCCTTTCTTTATAAATTCTTTGTCACTTTAACTCATCCCTCAATTTGCAGTAAGTAAGTAAACTGGAACTAAAATTGATCTCTTGTTTGCTTCCTTAATGTCAAGGCACTAGTAGAAGAAAACATCTTTGCTCTGAATTATGAATGGCTGAGTTGCAAGTTGTGCAGGGATAGGCATGCATTCTAATTCAAGTATTCCCCAAATGGCCATTGGAACAGAAGGGTTTTTTAAAAAATAATACAAAAATTAATATATACCTGTCATTCTAAATGCTCATACTTCTCCCGTTTCAGGCACAACATCACAGCATAATGGATGAATACACAAAAATCGAAAAGATTGGTGAAGGTAAGTAGTTAAAATCGAGCCGAGCCCCTTCTTAGAGCTCCAACCTGACTATGCACACATGGAGATACAGCTCTGCTAAAGGTGGAGGAATCATGAAGTCATGTTGATGGTTCCAGTAGTTCTAGTCCCCCTCTAAAATCCGGATTATCTGCTTTGACTGGATTATAAGGCAGTATAGACACATATACCATATATACTCGAGTATAAGCCGACCCGAATATAAGCCGAGGCACCTAATTTTACCACAAAAAACTAGGAAAATGTATCGTGTATAATGTTTGCCATATATATGCTCTATTCCGACCTGAGTCCCCTTTGGGGTGAGAAGGGTGGAATATAAATGTTTTAAATAAATAAATAAAAGACGAGGGTGGGAAATGCAGCAGCTACTGGTAAGTTTCAAAATAAAAATAGATACCAGTAAAATTACATTAATTGAGGCATCAGTAGATTAAATGTTTTTGAATATTTACATAACACTGTAATTTAAGATAAGACTGTCTAACTCTGATTAAATCATTATTCTAACCTTGCCCAAAATCACTTGGTGTTCAAGTGGGGATTCGAATTCTGGTCTCCTGGTGTCCTAGTCCAACCTGCAAACCAGGAGATCTCATTATCTGAGTGTGCTTAGAAATAAACACAAGGATATGGTTGACACATAAGCCTCTCCTGAGTATCACCAAAAATACACTTTTGCACATTGAATATGAAGTTCTGAAGAAGGCTTTCAACTGTGCTTGGGTAAATGTATTCACAAAGTGCCTATGAGAGAGAATTTTATATTAGCAGCGTTTCTACTCGCTGGAATGTATTACCTGCAGTCAGACAGACATAATTACAGGGCCTAAAGCTTTAAACTTACTACTTGTTGCCTGGGGACCCTGGTGTAGCAGAGGTTTGCATCATACTTACATTCCTGTCTACAGTTTTAGCTCTACAAAGTGAAATACCAGAATAGAGCCACGCTTCAGTTTCAATCTGATAAATTATAACCTGCCATAAACCGATTGGACTGTCATAATTATATCTGTACTTGGTCAGTATTTTTCCTGTTAACTTTCTCTGTGCTTTTGAGATGTTTGGAAGTATGAAGACTTGAGTGTAGAAAAGCTTCAATATGCCCTTACAATCTCCCATCATCACACCTATGTTACTTTGACAAAGCTGTTTAGTGAGCAACATACTGTTTTGGACACATAAAGGCAATGGACTGGAGACTGGGAACCTTCCTTACAATCTGAGTTTCAGTCCTCACTTAATAAGTTAAGTTAAGTAGGGTCTTAAGCAGCTCCACCGGCCGCCTATTAGCTTCTGGCCCACTTCCTGTCCGAACGTGTCTCCCTATGAACCATCAAGGATTTTAAGATCATCTGGGGAGGCTCTGCTCTCGGTCCCACACCATCGCAGTCACGTTTGGTGGGGATGAGAGACAGAGCCTTCTCCGTGGTGGCTTCTTGGCTGTGGAACTCCCTCCCTAAAGAGGTTAGATCTGCCCCCTCCCTCCTGACTTTTTGCAAAACACTTAAGACTTGGCTGTGGGAGCAAGCGTTCGCAGAATATATGTTTTTTATTAGCTTAGATGGGATTGTATGGACCACATTTTTTTGACTGATTGTAGCACGTTTTAAACTTGGCGAACTGTTATCATTTTATGTAATTGTGTATTTTCTTGATGTTTTTATATTGTTGGAAGCTGCCCTCAGCCCCTCTTCGGAGGTCGAGAATAGGACGGGATACAAATTTTCTAAATAAATAAGTATTGTCATATGAAAAACGTAGAATGTGTCATTATTGTATACAATTATACATCTAGAAAATTTAGTGTAAAAATGACCACAAAAACCTGGTTTGACGTATCCATGATTCATTGTAAAGTACAGTAACTTTACTCTTAATAAATAAGGATCTTGAGTACAGTGATGAACTTAGTCCATCCTGGTCACCTGCTTTCTGTCTACTTGTGGCCTTTTTGAATGCACTGAGGCTTTGATCTATCGTGTGTTTTATTATTTCCTCGCTTTCTTTATATTCCCCTTTACTTTCCAATTTCTGGGTGAAAAATTGAGTCTTGTTCCATTTTATATTTATCCTTAATAGCTCCTCCATTTCCTTCCCGATTATTTCATGGAACTTTTTGATTTTTTTCAAATTCCCACCACATGTGGGTGTATGTTCCTATTTTTCCACAGTTGTGCCTACATAATTTGGGGCACATTTTCGTAATATGCGCCAATTGCATGGTAGTTCTGTACCATTTTGTCAGTATTTTCTGTTGCATATTAAATAAATGTTTTATTTTATTGATTGAATTCATCCAGTTGTGTATTTCTCTCTCACTGCAACTTAATTCCTCCTTCCAGACCTCTATTACGGTAGACTTTGTGTTATATTGTATTTCTGTGATTATTTTATATATAAATCCCATGATTATTTATTTATTTATTTATTTATTTCAAGTGCTTCTACCCCACCCTTCTCAACCCCCTAGGGGGGCCTCAGGGCGGCTTACAAAAGTCACAATTCGATGCCAACAGTTCACAAAATACAATATACAAAATACAGTATAACAACAACAATTATAACTAGTTAAAACAATCAAATTAATACAGTCGCAGCAATAAAATCATCTTTTGGTCAACGTTTGCCAATTCATAAATCCATAATCCATAGTCCTTTCCTACTCTGGTCATCATTGTCTTTATCCATCTGCCTGGTCCCATATCCAGGTTTTTAACTTCCTTCTGAAAGAGAGGAGGGATGTTGATGACCTAATTTCCCCGGTTAGTGAATTCCACAGGCGAGGGGCCACCACCGAGAAGGCCCTGTTCCTCGCCCCCACCAGTCTCACTTGTGATAAAGGTGGGGCCGAGAGCAGGGCCTCCCCAGAGGATCTTAAACTCTGAGGTGGGACGTAGAAGGAGATACGTTTGGACAGGTACGCTGGGCTGGAGCCGTATAGGGTTTTGTAGGTCAAAACCAGCACTTTGAATTGTGCTCGGAACTGGATCGGCAGCCAGTGGAGCTGACATAACGGGGGGTGGTATGCTCCCTGTATGATGCTCCAATGAGTAACTCCTTTCTCCTTCTCAACTTTCCATTGTATTATTTTGTCAAGATTTGTTTCTGAGGTTTCCTTAGTCTTCAGTTATTTCCAACACCGCACTTATCTTTTATTTCCTCCCATTGAATTACAGTTCCATCTGTTTTCAGTAAGTCCTCCATCTTTGTTATTCCGTTCTGTTCCAGTTTCTTTAGCATATTGCGATATATCATTGGCCTCATCACATAGAGAAAAACAGTGAAAAGACTGTTTCAGGCAGGTGTAAATTCTCTACATACTTGGAAAGGCTAAATTATCTGGGTTCCAGATTTTTTGAAGAATCTTTTTGCATAGCAGAGGATCATAGAGGGAAGCATTTGGCATGTTTTTATTTGAAGTTCGGTTTGGACTGCTATTGTGAATGCCTGTGTTATCTTAATATGCTTTGGGGTTTGTATAAGATACTGGAGTGAAGCTGCTTATGTTCTCTGAGCATCCCTTTTGTTCATCCTTTAATAGTCAAATTGCCAACTTTTATTGGTCTTGTTATCTTTATTACCTTTGGCATTCCCAGTCATAAAGTGGCTGCCTTCTGGGTTTTTTGTGTGTCTATTTTTCTAGCTAAATTGCTACATCATGTCCCATGTGTTTGAATCATGAAACATTAAGTTGATTTCATTTCCTCCCACAGGCACTTATGGCGTTGTGTATAAAGGCAAACACAAAGCCACGGGCAAAGTGGTCGCCATGAAGAAAATTCGACTAGAGAGTGATGAAGAAGGCGTTCCCAGCACTGCAATCAGAGAGGTTTCCTTATTAAAAGAGCTACATCACCCCAATATAGTTTGGTATGGGAATCATTTGATGGTTGGAAAATTAGGATTTTCTCCCTTCTGTGTTTGCATCCAGAAAGTACATGCAATCTATATAAATAAAAATGTAATGTTCGTTTGTGGGATTAACATAACTCAAAAAACCACTGGACGAATTGACACCAAATTTGTTTTTTTGTTTTTTTAAATAATTTTTATTGTTCATTTTTCAAATATAACAGTGATAGAGGGGGAACAATCTGACTTATAGGAAAGTGGGAAATTTGATAGGTAGGTAGAGAAGGGAGAAAGTGAAATGGGGAGGGGATTGAGGGTTTGTGTATTGGTAGGAAGAGCTGGGACCTGTGCTGGCGGGACTGGGGTGGGGGGTGGGGGGAGAGATAGTTGACTTCCGGTTCATTCCACAGAGGTACAGTCTTGTTCTTCTTAAGAAAATTTTTGCTTCGGAAGGTCTCTTGTCCTAGAGGACTCCTTGTATTTAAATTTATATATTTAGTTTTATTGTTTCCTTCAAATAAAATCTGAGTTGATTCTAACTAACATAACTCAAAAACCACTGGACGAATTGACACCAAATTTGGACACAACACACCTAACACTCCAACGAGTGTCCATCACCCATAAACACACACACAAAACCCCAGCGGAACAGACTTAAAACTCCCAAAAATACACCATATATACATACACTCATATACATATGCACATGCGCACATTCATACACACTCACATATATATATGCACAGATACATATATACATATATACATGAACACAAATATACATATGTATATATACACACAATATGCATGTACACATATAAACACACAAATCCACAAATATATACACACATATATATATACACAAATATATACACACATACACAATATGCATGTACACATATAAACACACAAATATATACACACACATATACACACACACATATATATATGCAAACACACATATATACACATACACACACATATATACACACAAAACACATATATACAGACTGGATCACAGCAACACGTGGCAGGGGACAGCTAGTTCTACATAACAATGCAAGGAAATCTGGGTTAAAGACAGAATTGGAAAAATGTGGTGTTCCAAATGTTGTTGGACTATACCTCCCATCAATCTTTGTCAGGAATGATGGAAGCTGTGGTTCAGCAAGGTCTCGAGGGCAGTAAGTTGTTGTCTCTGGTGTAAAAGGTTGGGGCTGGGTTTTAAAGTAAATTGGTTTCTTGCAGCTCCTTTGATACTTGAGTAAAGTGTCAGACATATGCCATTTAAAGGTTACAATGTTATGCAGAGCTGATTGGCAATAAGCTGCACCGAACAGAAGTCGGAAATACACCCTAGTGAATTCTTTTTGGTTGTGTTGTAGGTTATTTTTCACAGTGCGATTTGTTTTGTGATGTATAGTGTGATTTGTTAAGGATTCGAATTTAAGAGACTACAGGTGCAGATTTCAAATATTACACTGCATTTAAACCAGATGCATTTAATTAAATCTAAATCCAGCCTGGTCAATTAAAGCTTGAGGAACTAAACTGGATTGACAACACAAAGGGTTTTGTTGGTTTTTCCTGTAAACCTAAAATGATCACACAGCCATTGCTACTATTCCAAAATTTACTGTGTGATTACAGTTTTAATTGATACTGTAGGATGCCTAGTTTTTCAGCCCCTTTTTTAGGCTGAAAAAGCTCCCCTCGGCTTATACTCAAGTCAAGGTTATTTATTATTTTACTCTGTTATTAGTATTATTTTTATTTCATGTATTACTTTACTCTCTTTATTATTATTACATTACAGTATTTTACCCTATTATTATTATTACATTTATTAATTTACACTATTTATGATTATTATTACATCTATTATTTTACTTTATTATTGTTGCATTTATTATTTTACTCTATTATTACATTTATTATTCTACTCTATTATTACTGTTATTGCATTTTCATTATTTTACTTTATTATTATTATTATATTTATTATTTTACTCTCTTTATTATTGTTGGAGGGATACATAAGTACATTTACATTGAAGATATGTAATGATTTAATCAGAGTTGGGCAGTCTTATTTATTTACTTACTTACTTCATTTATATACCGCTCTTCTCAGCCCTTAGACGACTCAAAGCGGTTAACAACAACAGTTTCATTACACACATTACAAAATCATTGGAACATTTAAAAGCAATAGCATAACAACAATTAAACATCAATATAACAAATCATTCACGTCTCATCAATAGAATCAGAATCCAGTCTCATCATCTGTTATTCCGTATTCCTATAATCAATTACACTGCCTAATCAAATGCTTGTTCGAACAGCCAGGTCTTCACTTTCCTCCAAAACGACAGTAGGGAGGGGGCCGATCTGATATCTGCAGGCAGGGCGTTCCACAGCCGAGGGGCCACCACTGAGAAGGCCCTGTCTCTCGTCCACGCCAGGCGTACTTGTGATGCTGACGGGACCGAGTGCAGGGCCTCCCCAGATGATCTTAATGTCCTAGCTGGTTCATAGGTCTTATCTCAAATTACAGTTTTATGTAAATATTAAAAAACATTTCACCTCCTGATGCCTCAATTAATGTAATTTTATTGGTATCTATTTTTATTTTGAAATTTACCTGTAGTGGCTGTATTCCCCACCCTTGACTTATACTCGAGTCAATATGTTTTCCCAATTTTTTGTGGTAAAATTAGGTGCCTCGGCTTATATTCGGGCCGGCTTATACTCAAGTATATATGGTAATTATGTTTATACTTGAGTATATAGAGTACCTGCAAGTTCATCTGCAGATGTGTTTCCTTCTAATATAATAATGTTGTCAGAGCTGCTTTAAATAGTTTCAGTATAATTAACACAAAAAGTGAAATGCTTAATTCTGGTACAGTTACATAAAGTCTTTTGTCACGCAATTATGAAGGAGTCTGAGCTGTCTTATTTTCTTTTTCCTTTACAGTCTTCAGGATGTGCTTATGCAAGACTCAAGGCTTTATCTTATCTTTGAATTTCTTTCTATGGATCTCAAGAAATACCTGGATTCTATTCCATCTGGGCAGTTTTTGGATCGAATGCTTGTGAAGGCAAGGAACTTGGTGTCTCTAAAACTACTGCTTACCTAGCAGCCCTTTTTTCCCCTCATAGATTTCAAAGCCAATGTGATGCAGCAATTGAAATATCGAGCTCAGGTTCAAATTCACATTTATGCCATGGGTCAGTCACCATCTTCAGTGCACTTGAAATGCCTCCCAATGTGGTTAAAAAATTATAGGAAGACCCCATGTTATTTGTGTATAGAAGTCATGTTACACCTACAATTCGTTATTACTACTGCTCTTTCTGTCGGCAAATCTGGCCTCAGCTCAACAGCTAGGAGGCACACGATAAATTAAGTGCGCAGCCTTTAGTCAACTTCAAAGCCTTGAAGTAGCACATTTATTTAGTTACTTTCTAAAAGCTACAAAAGCAACACACATAACTTACGTACAGGAGAAGTTACAGACACGTCTTGCTTCTTCTCGTAGCATGGCTGGAAGAGAACACTCGGCAGTTTGTTATCTCAATTCCACATCGTGTAATAATAATAATAAAACTTTATTTATATGCCGCTCTATCTCCCCGAGAGGACTCAGAGCGGTTCCCAGGTAACATCACAAAACATACAAAGTAAAAAAACAACATAACCATAAGATTAGCAAAACAAAATATAAGCATAAAAATTGTCACCATAACACACATATATTAAAAGACTCCTGCCTGTCCAAGGCAATTAAAAAATTTACAAGGCCAGGCCAAGATTTGTGCGAGCCCAAAAATTCTAGGGGGCTTTCACAAATGCTAAGTGCAATACTATGGCAGGCAACAATAATTTATTTATTTTATTTATTTGACTTGTATACCGCCACTCCCAATTTGGCTTGGAGCGGTTTACAGCAGTAGATTAAAACAATACAACCAACTTTAAAATACAATAAAAACGAGAACAGACATAGTCCCGAGTTATTAGATACGGGTCTGTGGCTGTTCATTCCAGGGCCGATTAGAGGAAAGAATCTGGGTAATTGGTAGGAAGAATAAGGCCGTATTCGACAATGTGTAGGGCTGAGTTAGAACTGGCCATTTTTTGAAAAAAGAGGATAAAGAAGTGATAACAAATTTATTAACAATAGAAAGACTGCTTATAGCAAGGAACTGGAAAAAAGAAATAAATATACAACTAGAGGAGTGGTACAAGGAAGTATGGAAATTGGCAATACATGATAAGCTGACGTGTATATTAAAAGTTAAAAGATGTATATGGAAACAAAGTGATTTTGATGATGTATGGAGAAAATTTATTGAAAAAGGATTTAAAAAACAAAGAAGGAATGTTACCTCCGTAAGAAGAATTGAAATTTTGGACAGATGATATGTAAAAGCTGTGGCTTGGGAGGGGGTGGGGAGCACAGCGATGAGAGATAGACAAATATGTATAAGCAGAAAAATATTTTTTAAAAAACTGTTCATTTTCAAAGGCTTGTTGAAACCACCAGGTTTTCAAGTTCTTACGAAAGGAGGGGAGGGATGGGGCCTGTCTTATTTCACTTTCCAGAGGTGGGGGCCACCACTGAGAAGGCCCTCTCTCTCGTCCCCACCAACCGTGCTTGTGACGAAGGTGGGACCGAGAGGAGGGCCTCCCCAGAAGATCTTAGAGTTCGTGCTGGTTCATAGAAGGAGATGCGATCGCGGAGATAGGCGGGGCCTGAACCGTTGTGACTTAAACTGTCTGTTTGTGGCCAGGGGTCCACAAACTTTTTAAACAGAGGGCCAGGTCACAGTCCCTCAAACTGTTGGAGGGCCGGATTATAATTTGAAAAAAACATAAATTCCTATGCATACTGCACATACCTTATTTGTAGTGAAATAAACACTTTAAAACAATGCAATAATTAAAATTAAGAACAATTTTAACAAATATAAACTTATTAGTATTTCTATGGGAAGTGTGGACCTGCTTTTGACTGATGAGATAGCATTGTTATTGTTGTTGTGTGCTTTCAAGTTGTTTCAGAATTAGGTTGACCTTGAACGAGGGCCGAGTAAATGACCATCCGGCCCCCTGGGCCTTACTTAGTTTGAGAACCCCTGCTCTAGGCATTAAATCACTTTGTGTCTTTAACCCTTGCATGGCATTACATAGCATTATATTCTATACCAAACAGCAGAGCTCTGAACTATAAACAATATTTCATCCAGTTAAACAACGATACTGACACTTCCTTCCAAGAAACCACTGCATATGACTGCAGTAGTATACATTGCATGTTACAATCCTCTACCAAATTTCACTGTATACAAAGACATGTGGCTCTTTGTGGCACAGACCAAGAATGCAGCCTGGAAAGCATTTCGTACACTTTGTAGCTACGCATAACTTTGAAAGATCAGTAAAATAAAGAAGCTGCCAGTCTCATCCAGCTCTTGTCATCCAACATCCCCAAGAATAGAGTTGGAAGAGACCTCATGGGCTATCCAGTCCAACCCCCTGCCAAGAAGCAGGAATGTTGCATTCAAACCACCCCTGACAGATGGCCATCCAGCCTCTATTTAAAAGCTTCCAAAGAGAGAGCCTCCACCACACTCGAGGGCAGAGAGTTCCACTGCTGAACGACTCTCACAGTCAGAAAGTTCTTCCTCATGTTCAGATAGAATCTCCTTTCTTGTCGTTTGAAGCCATTGTTCTGCGTCCTGGTCTCCAGGGAAGCAGAGAACAAGCTTGCTCCCTCCTCCCTGTGACTTCCTCTCATGTATTCATACATGGCTATCATATCTCCTCTCAGTCTTCTCTTCTTCAGGCTAAATATACCCAGCTCCATAAGCCACTCCTCATAGGGCGTGTTCTCCAGACCCTTGATCATTTTAGTCGCCCTCCTCTGGACACATTCCAGCTTGTCAACATCTCCCTTCAATTGTGGTGCCCAGAATTGGACACAGTATTCCAAGTATGGTCTGACCAAGTCAGAATATTTTACTCTTCCAGTTAAGTTGAAAAGTGGATATTTGCATGTCTTTAATGATGGCATCTTAAAGCATTGATCCTAACATGCCTGTATACCTTCTGTAGTAACTTTTCTCTCACATGTGTCCTTTCAGAGTTATTTGCACCAAATCTTGCAAGGTATTGAGTTCTGTCATTCAAGAAGAGTCCTGCATAGAGACCTGAAGCCTCAGAATCTGTTAATTGATGACAACGGAGTAATTAAACTAGCTGATTTTGGGCTGGCCCGAGCTTTTGGCATCCCTGTCCGTGTTTACACACACGAGGTAAGCTAAATATCCCCTGAAATTCCAAAAATTGTACTTAAAGGAGATTAGTATGTTACACTCTGCATTTGTGTCCCTTCGACTTGTCTGTCGACCTATGGTCACCCCATGAATTTCATGGTTCTCTTTGGCAACAAATATTCAGATTTTCTTTATCACTTCCTTCCTCTGAAATGCACCTGATATTTGTTGGTGTGGCCAGACCTGACACTGCCTTGCTCCTAAGATCACATAGGATCTGATGCCTTTCGGATATTTAGGTGTGCCCACACAGCATTAATCTCGCCTTTACCCCAGCAGTTATACAATATTTCATGGATTTGACTCCGTTATGTTATGTCACATTCTTGATCACAATTAGTGTGGTTTGTTATGTAAGGGAACCCAAAGACTGTATGTACCACGTTAAATTACTACATACCAAACTCATTCTGTATTTTTGGTCTATAATTCACATTTATTCGCCAGTTTGGGCCATACATGCTATTTACACTTAGATTGTTGTCCTTAATATTTGTGTGCAAGTATAGGACCAGTTACCACACTTTGGGTTTGGGAGAAGAATCATAGAATCAAAGAGTTGGAAGAGACCTCATGGGCCATCCAGTCCAACCCCCTGCCAAGAAGCAGGAATATTGCATTCTAATCACCCCTGACAGATGGCCATCCAGCCTCTGCTTAAAAGCTTCCAAAGAAGGAGCCTCCACCACACTCCGGGGCAGAGAGTTCCACTGCTGAACGGCTCTCACAGTCAGGAAGTTCTTCCTCATGTTCAGATGGAATCTCCTCTCTTGTAGTTTGAAGCCATTGTTTTGCGTCCTAGTCTCCAGGGGCAGAAAACAAGCTTGCTCCCTCCCCCCTGTGGCTTCCTCTCACATATTTATACATGGCTATCATATCTCCTCTCAGCCTTCTCTTCTTCAGGCTAAACATGCCCAGCTCTCTTAAGCCGCTCCTCATAGGGCTTTTTCTCCAGACCCTTGATCATTTTAGTCGCTCTCCTCTGGACACATTCCAGCTTGTCAATATCTCTCTTGAATTGTGGTGCCCAGAACATTGATTTTGATCCATTTTCTATTATTTTTATTTTATTTATTTAAAACATTTATATTCCGCCCTTCTCACCCCAAAGGAGACTCAGGGTGGAGCACAGCATATACACGGCAAGCATTCAATGCCGGGACACAGATTCACATACAATACATAAACATTGGAAAACATTTATCAAAATATTAAAATACACCATTTAAAACCATCCTAGCCATCCGCATCAAATCTAATTAGCCCTGTCATCTTTCCCACTGCCGCTTCATTTCCCTGTCCTGAAAGCTTGGTCCCACAGCCAAGTTTTTTACCATCCTTCTAAAGGACAGGAGGGAGGGGCTGACCTGATCTCACCAGGAAGGGAGTTCCATAGCCGGTGAGCAATCACCGAGAAGGCCCTGTCTCTTGTCCCCACTAATCGTGCCTGTGACAATGGCGGGGCGGAAAGTAGGGCAATCACAGAGGATTTTAATCTCCACGATGGTACATAGGGGGAGATGCGTTCGAACAGGTAATTTGGGCCAGGGCTGTTTAAACTTGATATAAGACGTACTAAGACTTGCAGGCACTGGCAGTCATCAAGCTTTTAAAAATTCAACTCAAAAGGCAAAATAATGAATATCCACCCAGAAAGTGTTGGATAAATTTCCTATCTATATAAATAAAAATGCAATGTTCATTTGTGGGATTAACATAACTCAAAAACCACTGGACGAATTGACACCAAATTTGGACATAGTACACCTATCAGGCCAATGAGTGACCATCACTCACTAAAACACTGAAAAACACAGTGGGAGGGACTTAAAAAGCCAAAAAACAAAAAATACATTACAATGCATGTGCAAAACCACATATGTACACAAACATATATACACAAATATATACAGAAATACTCAAAATACATACACAGAAAGGAGGAAGGTAGGAAGGAAGGAGAGAAGGACGGAGAGAAAGAAGGAGAGAAGCAAAGAAAATGTAAAGAAGAAAGAAGAGAAGGAAATAAAAAAGTGAAAGAGGGAAGGAAGAAGAGAAGAAATGAAAGAGGGAAGGAAGGAAAGAGACAAGGAATGATGGAACCAAAGAGCAAAGGAAGCTATAAAAGAAACAGGTAGAGAAGGAAGAAAGAAGAAGGGAAAAAAGAAGGAAGAAAGGAAAGGGAGGGAAGGAAGGAGAAAAATAAAGAAGGAGAAAAAGAGGCAGGGAAGTCTGGCCACAGCACCGTGTAGCGGGTATAGCTAGTATATAAATATAAATGTAATGTTCGTTTGTGGGATTAGCAGAACTCAAAAACCACTGGATGAATTGACACCAAATTTGACAGTAAAACACATTCCAATCCGATCTATGTCTTTCAAACAAAAAAACCCATAAAAATGAAGGGGAAATAAAAAACTTCCCCCCAAAAAATGCCTTACAGAGTATGCACGTAGTTCCTCTCCCCATTGCGCGAGAAGAATGAAGCACCAACCGCTGTGAGGGAAGAGAAGCCTCGCCATGGAGTCCCTTCCCATGCAGGAAGGCAGAGTCCGTTTTCTTTTGGGTAGGGGAGGCATTGAGGAAAGGAAAGAGGGAAGGAAGGAAGGAGAAGGCCTGGCCTAACAGAGGGGTGGGGGCTTGGCGAGGCAAGCCCCAGCAGCGGCTGAAGCCACTGCAGAGGCTCCATGAGGCCCACGTGGCTACCAGGCAACTCTTCCCCCAAGACCAGAGGATTGCAAGGCTGCAGGAGCGGCTACACACACCCTCCCTCTCCGTTGGGTGAAGGAAGGATGGGAACCATGAGAAGGCCAGCAACTCTCCCACTTGGGGAAGGAGGGGAAAGGGAAGAGAAGAATATAGAATCAGAGTCCTAGAGTTGGGAGACACCTGGTGAGCCTTCCAGGCTAACCCCATTCTGTGTAGAAGCAGGAAAATAACATTCAAAGCATCCCCAACAGATGGCCACCCAACCTCTGTTTCAAAGAGGCTTTTTTTTAAAGTATTTTGGCCAGCATGAATATAACTGAAAAGCCTTGCAGCTTCAGTGGCTGCTTCTCATTACTTTATTTTCCATACCACCTTGCACCTTAACAGCCTGGCTTCTACTAGCCAGCAGGAAACCTTTGATGGGAGGAGTTCCATAGCCCAGATTGCTTCATGCCTGCGAATCCTCTGTTTTCTGAGGGCCACAGCAACGCGTGGTCGGGTACAGCTAGTTTCAAAATAAAAATAGATACCAATAAAATTATATTAATTCTCCTCTCGGCACAGCAACCTAGCTGGGTTGCTGTGCCGAGAGGAGAGGCCATGTGCCTTCCTCTCCTCTCTTGGCACAGGTCCAGCTGGGTTGCTGTGCCGAAAGGAGAGGAGGCACACTGCTGGTAGAAGACCTTCAAAGGGCATCTTTCAGCCCCACGTCTTCTTGCCAGGACCCTCATTCGGGCTGAGGGGACCTTTTTCAGCATAAAAATGTGCTGAAAAACTAGTATATCTCATTTAATTGCTTAGCTGAGCACCTTGAAAGGACGTAAATGTGATTATTAATAATAATTCATCCTGAACTATAAATAGAGCAATTTTGATGTATAAAATGTGCTACTGATTTCCCTAAAAGAAAGTTGGTTTGCTTCAAAGTGTGTTTGGTCTGTTCATTGTCTAATCTGCATTTTAAAAAAGTTTTGTAACAACCACCTCTTTTTGTTCCAGGTAGTAACGCTGTGGTACCGGTCCCCAGAAGTGCTGCTAGGCGCTGTACGTTACTCTACTCCTGTAGATGTATGGAGCATAGGTACCATATTTGCAGAAATGGCAACAAAGAAACCGCTCTTCCATGGAGACTCAGAAATTGATCAACTCTTCAGGATCTTTAGGTATCTAAGGAGTTGGAAAGATGCGTAAAATTGTGTTTAAGATCGGATTAGCATTTATGAAAATGTTGTATCTTTTCTATTTAAGAAGATATTGATTTAACTGTTGTATTTTACTGTGTGCAATGAATTGACACCTGTCCTTGTTTGCTTGCCTTTTCTTTGTATGTGCTGTAATGGCAAATTATCAAACAATATGTTATACAGGCAGTTGCAGACATCTGCATGCGTTTTGCGCATGCGTTGTAATGTAATTTTTGTTTTTTGGCTTTTAAAGACTCTTTTTGTGTGTTTTCCAGTGTTTTTATGAGTGATGGTCACTCGTTGGCCTGATAGATGTATTGTGTCCAAATTTGGTGTCAATTTGTCCAGTGGTTTTTGAGTTCTGTTAATCCCACAAACAAACAAGCATCACATTTTTATTTATATAGATGTATGTATATATGTGCATTGCAAATAAGATATGTGCAGTGTGCATAGGAATTTGTTCATGATTTTTCTTACTTTTTCCAAACTCTAATTCAGTTCCCCAACAGTCCGAGGGACCGTGAACCAGTCCTCAGCTTTAAAAGTATGCCCATCCATGTTGCCTGATGACACTTTTTCAGAAAAGCTGGGAGAAATTATCTTGTTTGAGTGACTCTTTACTTAGCCAAACAAGATACTTTTGCAATGGAATGTGTGTTGCTGTGATTTTGCCTCTTGAGTCTTTCCCGTGTGCATGTTCTATGGCGATTTCACCCCAGAGCCATGTAATTGGTACAATGGAATTCTATAGTAAGAACTTTCACAATGCTCTGTAGAGTCCATTAAAATGACGTTTAGCAGAAGACAGTTTATTCAGCTCTGGATACATTTTTCCTGCAGAGCTTTAGGGACCCCCAATAATGATGTGTGGCCTGAAGTGGAATCCTTGCAGGATTACAAGAACACCTTCCCAAAATGGAAACCGAGCAGCCTGGCCTCTCAAGTGAAACATCTGGATGACAACGGACTAGACTTGCTTTCTGTAAGTGATTATTTCACTCTCACAGTGTTTTCTTTTGGTGAGCATCACTCCACCAGGCTGAAAGATTCAATTGGCACCAAAACGTATGATATATAAGATAAACCTGGCTTCTCTATATTGTCCTGTATGGTGCCTGTTTTTCAATGATACTTATGAACTGTTCTGCTCTTGCAGATTAAAGTAATGTTTTCCGCAGCAGTAGTATCCCACTTGGAGGTGGCAGTCCTACATAACCACAATGGCTTTTAACCTTTTATATTGTTCTACTTCAGCTTCTGATCTGTGGATTTATGTAATGTAGTAGTAGTAGTAGTAGTAATAATAATAATAATAATAATAATAATAATAATAATAATAATAATAAAACTTTATTTAATGGGGACTTGGGGCGGCTTACATGAGTCCAAGCCCAACAGCATATTACAATAAAATAAAACCAAAACACAATAACAACACAGTAAAATACATACAACATATGAGTACAAAAAAAACAATAAAGCCAAATCATACACAATAAAATAATATAAAATAACATAACAATGAGCAGGCCGCATGTGCAAGATAAAAACTAAGATACTAAAAATACTAAAATCCGGATGAGATAGGGATGGAGCAGATTTTTTTGGGGCGAGAGAAACGAAAAGAAGGGCGACCGGAGCGGTCCTCATCATGGACGTTGTCACGGACATCTTTGAATTGTCGTACCCACTTACGCACTTTGCTTTCACTCATAACAGTATCACCGTACACTTCACAAATCTGTTGATGAATTTCTGCAGCAGGCAGGTTCCTTGCTGACAAAAACCCTATCACTGAGCAAACCTCACATGCGGCGGGTGACTTGATAGTCTTAAACATTTTTAAAGCACAGAACAGAACCGTACAGGTTAGCTACAGAGCGGAAACTGAGCACAGTTGTTCCCGAGGCATGCCGGTACATGACGCACGCGCTCGTTGCGGTATGCGCGTGAACTACTAGTGTCTACAACAAAACGGACCTTACTTAAAAAATACCCCTCGTACCTTGTAAGCCACTCTGAATCCCCTTCGGGGTGAGAAGGGCGGCATATAAATGTCGTAAGCAAATAAATAAATAAATAAAATGGTGTTGGGATGAACGGGGAAGGACTAAATAAGAGGCATGAAGACGTTTTTATTTTTTATTGTTTGGGGATTTATTTGCAGATTTCATTAATGTGTTCCCTCTAATAATCTCTAGCTCCTCCAGTGCGAATTTGGAGTCAGTGTCTTGCAAATATTGACTATATAGAATCCTATTAGACAATCTAGAGATTCCTGGAGATGTGCTCTCAGTTTTTAAAAACTACATTTTTAGGTTTTTAAAATTTGTGTTTCCTCCACTTTTGTGGAGTCCTGTGTCTATAACACCAATTAATGTTTTTAGACATGAGAATACTTCCAAAAGAGAGTGGGCTACTGGCTAGGAAACTGTTTGATTTACAGTTGGCCCTCCATATTTGCAGGTTTGACTATTTTTTTGATTAGATTATTCACAGATTTGATTACAATGTTCTCTCCAGGAATCTCAAGATCCAGTGCAATTCTACAGTCAGCTTCCAGTATAAATTGTCCACAAACCCTTGCTTTGATGATCTAGAGCAGTGGTTCTCAACCTTCCTAATGCCGTGACCCCTTCATACAGCCCCCCATGTTGTGGTGAGCCCCAACCATAACATAGTTTTTGTTGCGACTTCATAACAGTCATTTTCCTACTGTTATAAATCATAATGTAAATGTCTGATATGCAGAATGCATTTTTATTCACTGGACCAAACTGGGCACAAATACTCAATGCACCCAAATGTGAATGCTAGTGGGGTTGGGGCTGGATTGATTTTGTAATTTGGGAGTTGTAGTTGCTGGGATTTATAGTTCACTTATAGTCAAAGAGCATTCTGAACTCCACCAGTGATGGGTTTGAATCAAACTTGGCTCCCATGACCAATGGAAAACACTGTAAGGTTTTGGTGGGCACTGACCTTGAGTTTGGGAGATGTAGTTCACCTATATCCAGAGAGCACTGTGGACTCATGCAGTGGTGGTTCTGCACCAAACTTGGCACAAATACTCAATATGCCCAAATGTGAACACTGGTGGAGTCTGAGGAAAATAGATCTTGACATTTGGGAGTTGTAGTTGCTGGGATTTATAGTTCATTACAATCAAATAGCATTCTGAACTCCACCAATGATAGAATTGGCTCAAACTTCCCACATGGAATCCCCATGACCATCAGAAAATACTGACCCCTCTGACACCCCCTCGCGACCCCCTCAGGGGTCCCGACCCCCAGGTTGAGAAACACTGATCTAGAGATTCTTAGAAAGGTTTTCTTTCAAGTCAAAAGACCTAGCAATTTTTTACTAATTTTTTCACTTTCTCAGAAACTCTGTGAATGTGGAGGGCTGACTAGAGTTTAAGATTTTTAATTTAAAAGATCTTTACTCTCTAAGTTTACTTGCATCCCACGTGACCTGAAATAAACTGAACAATATTTTGACTTGCAGAAAATGTTAATTTATGACCCTGCAAAAAGGATTTCTGGCCGCGCAGCCCTGAACCATCCCTACTTTGATGACTTGGAAAGATCCAAACTGCCTGCCAGCCGTATCAAGAAACGTTAACTGTCCTAAGAAATCAGTGGGTGTCTGGAGTAGAGAGAGAAAAGACTCCGGAAAGTGTCTGTGTCTCCTGTTTTTTATATGTCTGGTCTTATTCTAAAACTGTAGCCCTATTTTAGAGTGCTCTGGCTAAAGTCTTTCTCAAATGTAAATATTAACATATTCACTGCTCAATAAAGTTGTAAACTTAATGAAATTCACTGTTATATAAATAAAAAACTTTAAACATAGCACAAGTGTGGTGAGGGTCTTTGTTCCTTTCCAACATGCTAGCAAAGTCTTGAAATCCACTGGAGGGTCTGGAGAACAAGCCCTATGAGGAGCGGCTCAGGGAACTGGGCATGTTTAGCCTGAAGAAGAGAAGGCTGAGAGGAGATATGATAGCCATGTATAAATATGTGAGAGGAAGCCACAGGGAGGAGGGAGCAAGCTTGTTTTCTGCTTCCTTGGAGACTAGGACGCGGAACAATGGCTTCAAACTACAAGAGAGGAGATTCCATCTGAACATTAGGAAGAACTTCCTGACTGTGAGAGCTGTTCAGCAGTGGAACTCTCTGCCCCGGAGTGTGGTGGAGGCTCCTTCTTTGGAAGCTTTTAAGCAGAGGCTGGATGGCCATCTGTCAGGGGTGATTTGAATGCAATATTCCTGCTTCTTGGCAGGGGGTTGGACTGGATGGCCCATGAGGTCTCTTCCAACTCTGATTCTATGATTCTATAAAGGAAGATGGAGTAGCATTTGTGTGGCAACTGCGTTGTGCAAACATTGATACAAAAAGGAGCAGAAGCCAAAAGAAGAAATTAAGTTAGACGTAGCTAAGTTTGGTTCTCTGGCTCGACTAGAGCCAACATTCATGCTCTTGTTACATCCCAAATAGATTACTGCAACGCACTCTACGTAGGGTTGCCTTTGAAGACTGTTCGGAAACTTCAATTAGTCCAATGGGCGGCGGCCAGATCACTCACTGGAGCGTCATACAAGGAACATATTGTTATGTCAGCTCCACTGGCTGCCAATCCAGTTCCGAACACAATTCAAAGTGCTGGTTTTGACCTACAAAACCCTATACGGCTCCGGCCCAGCGTACCTGTCCGAACGTATCTCCTTCTACATCCCGCCTCGGAGTTTAAGATCTTCTGGGGATGCCCTGCTCTCAACCCCACCTCTATCACAAGTGTGGTTGGTGGGGACGAGGAGCAGGGCCTTCTCGGTGGTGGCCCCTCGCCTGTGAAATTCGCTTCCCGGGGAAATTAGGTCATTGACATCCCTCCTCTCTTTTAGAAGGAAACTAAAAACATGGATCTGGGACCAGGCCTTTGGGTAACCTGGCAGACAGACAAAGGACAATGACGACCAGAACTGGATAGGATTCTGACAATACGGAACGAACTTACGGATTTTGAGCTTGGCGAACGTTGATCACTAGATTGGTTTTTATTAGTTGTGCTGTATAACTGGATTGTTTTAATTGTTTTATAATTGTTGCTGCTATGTATTTTAGCTTACTATTTGTATTGCTGGCATCGAATTGTGCCTTTTGTAAGCCACCCTGAGTCCCCCTTCAGGGGTTGAGAAGGGCAGGGTAGAAATACTCGAAATAAATAAATAAATAAACATTAAAAGATTCAGACTTTGCCCTTCTGTGAACCCCATCGCTTTCCCCAAAGCAATTAATTTTAGACACTCGTTTAAGCTTTATACTTGAGAACTTAATTAGAATGGTGGAAGGGAAAACCTATCCTTGCACCATGGCTTCATAGAGAACACTTATCTTGGCCTTTGTAGATCCTCTATAGATAGATAGATAGTTCTTACTTACTTAGATGATCCCTCGTAGCCCAAGGATGATGGTCTTCCAAGGTCAGTATTCTGTTGATGGGTCTGTAGGTGATGGTGGAGAATAGTCTTGCTCTGCATCTTCTTCCGCAGTGAGGGTGACCCCCCCATCATAGAATCAAAGAGTTGGAAGAGACCTCATGGGCCGTCCAGTCCAACCTCTGCCAAGAAGCAGGAATATTGCATTCAAATCACTCCTCACAGATGACCATCCAGCCCCTGTTTAAAAGCTTCCAAAGAAGGAGCCTCCACCACAATCTGGGGCAGAGAGTTCCACTGCTGAACGGCTCATTGAAGCGATGGTCCTCTGCCATCAACTCCGCTGGACTGGCCATGTTGTCTGGATACCTGATCATAGAATCAAAGAGTTGGAAGAGACCTCATGGGCCATCCAGTCCAACCCCCTGCCAAGAAGCAGGAATATTGCATTCAAATCACCCCTGACAGATGACCATCCAGCCCCTGTTTAAAAGCTTCCAAAGAAGGAGCCTCCACCACACTCCGGGGCAGAGAGTTCCACCGTCTCCCAAAGCAATTGCTCTACTCCGAACTCAAGAACGGAAAACAGAATGTTGGTGGACAGGAAAAGAGATTTAAAGATGGGCTCAAAGTCAACCTTAAAATCTCTGGCATAGAACTGGGAAGCCCTGGCCCTTGACCGCTCCAGCTGGAGGTTAGCTGTGACCAGCAGTGCTGCTGAATTTGAAGAGGCACGAATGGAGGGCGAAAGAGATAAACGTGCCATGAGGAAGGCGCATCAAGCCAATCCCGACCTGGACCGCCTTCCACCTGGAAACCAATGCCCTCACTGCGGAAGAAAATGCAGAGCAAGAATACGGCTCCACAGTCACCTACGGACCCATCGACAGAACATTGACCTTGGAGGACCATCATCCTTGGACTACGAGGGATCGCCTAAGTAAGTAAGTACTATCTATCTATCTATCTATCTATCTATCTATCTATCTATCTATCTATCTATCTATAGAGGATCTACAAAGGCAAGATAAGTGTTCTCTATGAAGCCATGGTGCAAGGATAGGTTTTGACAAGCTGGAATGTGTCCAGAGGAGGGCAACTAAAATGATCAAGGGTCTGGAGAACAAGCCCTATGAGGAGCGGCTTAAGGAGCTGGGCATGTTTAGCCTGAAGAAGAGAAGGCTGAGAGGAGATATGATAGCCATGTATAAATATGTGAGAGGAAGCCACAGGGAGGAGGGAGCAAGCTTGTTTTCTGCTTCCTTGGAGACTAGGACGCGGAACAATGGCTTCAAACTACAAGAGAGGAGATTCCATCTGAACATTAGGAAGAACTTCCTGACTGTGAGAGCCGTTCAGCAGTGGAACTCTCTGCCCCGGAGTGTGGTGGAGGCTCCTTCTTTGGAAGCTTTTAAGCAGAGGCTGGATGGCCATCTGTCAGGGGTGATTTGAATGCAATATTCCTGCTTCTTGGCAGGGGGTTGGACTGGATGGCCCATGAGGTCTCTTCCAACGCTTTGAGTCTATGATTCTAACCGAAATGCACAAGCCTAATAAACACATTGTTTGGTTGCCATATTCTCCATGGCCACAAGATGTCAATGTAGTATTTAAACATTTCTGGAAAAGCTCAGGGAAGGAGACAGGTGACAATTGTGTAACATGAACTGATTATTTTGTACAGTATTTCTAGGCAAGAGAAGAGAGTGAGCCACTTTCTCGTTCCTAGCTGTCTTTATGGATAGAATCATAGAATCAAATAGTTGGAAGAGACCTCATGGGCCATCCAGTCCAACCCCTTGCCAAGAAGCAGGAATATTGCATAGATGCATGGGAAATGTGCCGGAGTCTTATTTAACTCTGTACTCGTCTCTCCTCTTTCATTCTAGCACTGTGACCATGCAACCACCAATATGTAGCATATTCACTGCTGAAGGTTTCTGGAGATCTCAAATTGGGTGTTTTGCTGACTCTGTACAAATGAATTTGTCATTGCTTCTCTTCTTTCCCATCTCCCGGAGGATGAAATTTGAGTTTGGGTCTGCTGGGAATTATTAGAAATCCCTATCCACTCCTTGTTTTGTGTTTGTTTATTGATTTTGACATTCTCAAAAGTTGACAATCTTATCTTCCCTTTTAGCAAAAGAACATATTTACTGAATCTGTTCTAATTAACAATGGCTTCAAACTACAAGAGAGGAGATTCCATCTGAACATGAGGAAGAACTTCCTGACTGTGAGAGCCGTTCAGCAGTGGAACTCTCTGCCCCGGAGTGTGGTGGAGGCTCCTTCTTTGGAAGCTTTTAAACAGAGGCTGGATGCCCATTTGTCAGGGGTGCTTTGAATGCAATATCCCTGCTTCTTGGCAGGGGGTTGGACTGGATGGCCCATGAGGTCTCTTCCAACTCTTTGATTCTATGATTCTATGATTCTAATCTGACGCCTTTAATTCTTTTTTTTTAAAAATAACCTTTATGGTTAAAATCTCAATAGAAAAAAAGAGGAAAAAGAAGAAGAAAGAATAAGGAGAGTAAGAGAAAAAAAAGAAAACAGAAAGCAAACAAGCAAACAGCAATCTATATAAATAAAAATGTAATGTTCGTTTGTAGTATTAACAGAACTTAAAAACCACTGGGGGAATTGACCCCAAATTTGGACACAAGACCCCTGCCAAAGCAATCTATGTCCTCCACTCAAAAAAATGATTTTGTCATTTGGGAGTTATAGTTCACCTACAATCAAAGAGCAATCTGAACTCCACCAATGATGGAATTGAACCAAACGTGGTACACAGGACTCCCATGACTGGAAGGGTTTGTTGGGCATTGACCTTGACTTTGGGAGTTGTAGTTCTCCTACATCCAGAGATCACTGTGGACTCAAACAGTGATGGATCTGGATGGACCAAACTCTACATGAATACTCAATATGCCCAAATGTGAACACTGGTAGAGTTTGGGGAAAATAGAATCTTGACATTCGGGAGTTGTAGTTGCTGGAATTTGTAGTTCACCTACAATCAAAGAGCATTCTGAATACCACCAACGATGGAATTTGGCCAAACCTCCCACACAGAACTCCCATGAAGGCCACAGAAACGCATGGCAGGGGACGGCTATATATATAAATTGTGACTTCTAGGCCTCCTCCATATGGTTTTACTTCCTTTTCTTCTTTCTTAGCTCTTTTTCTCCCCTCCTTTTCGATCTGCTTCCCGCGATGTTTTTTGTTTCTATGTTTCTTCTTGTGATGACCCAGGCTTTTGGACAACAGACATAGATAGCACTTTGGACATGGAATTGGATATGGAATTGTCTGGAATGATGTTACGGCTATTAATATTGGTTTTACTGTTTTAATGAATGTTTTACTTATTGTTTTTATTATTATTATTATTATTATTATTATTATATTTCT